CGGCTTGTTTCCATTTCTTCCTTTTTATATCTTCTAGTTTCAGGGGATGTCCATTCTGCCCCAGGGTGGCACCACTCTGGGAGTGGCATAGCTGCCTTAGAGCAGTGCTGCCTGTGCTCTGACAAATGTTGCTGTGAGGCAGAGATTAGTGACACACGTGCATTGGACAAATGGACAATGCAGGTAAAAGGGATTTGCTGCTCATCAACTGCTGTTCTTACCCTGTGGCAAGTGAAATCCATGCTGTAGTAGCTTATCCCTCAGGAAATCAGGGCTAAAGTGCTGTGGTTTAGATTTTATTTGCTGCAGGGGAAGTGTGGGTGCATGCACTGTTTTTACAGAGCAGTCTCTACCCCCTTTTATGTTGCCAGAGTTACTTTGTTTATCCATTAAAAAGTGGCTACACTACTTGTAGGTAAGCTTTGTCTTGGTACAGTTCTTTCTGGTACCGGAGTGGGCATCGGAGAGATGCAGTCCCCTGTACAGTCAGCATCATTCCTGTATGAGGGAAGCTGGCACAATCGTTCAGCACAGCTGTGTGCAAGTTCTGTCTCTCAGGGATTGTATACCTTGTCTGCCTGTATTTCCACTTTTCAAATATTTTTTCATACAAGCAGTGTGTATTTTTGTTTTCCTGCCCTCTCAGACTGCAGAGTACTCTGTATTCTGAAATGCAGGTCTGTGGCTGCTTTCTACAGAGACAGCTCTTCCTTTATGGATGTGGAGAAGAGCGGTATTAAAGGTGCATGGTTTCGAACAATCTTTTCTCTGTTACAGCGATGAAGAACTGGAGGACTCCAAGGCTCTGCTGTACTTACCCATTGCTCCTGAAGTGGAAGACCCAGAGGAAAACCCCTATGGGCCCCCACCTGATGCTGTTCAGACGTCTCTAACAGATGAGGGAATAGGCTCAGAGAAAAAGAGACAATCTTCATCGGATGGACCACAGCCACCAAAGAAGAAACCTAAAACGACCAACATCGAACTTCAAGGAGTACCCAATGATGGTGAGTGGGATCAGCTGTCATTTTAAGGCCCATTCTGCTCTGTGGGTTTCACTTTTGCAGTCTTTCCAGCTCCCACCAGTCTGAGGACCAGGAGTTAAATAGTCACTCTCCAATCCTCTTGGTTAATAGTCAAGAAGTATTATTTTCTTTATAGTAAGTATTGTCACTGCACATCCATATCAAGTTTGTTGTAACATTTTTTTTTTTTTTGAGAAAGAAGCAGAGTCATTCTAAAACAAATGATTTTTGTGCTCTTTGTACTTCATCCAACACTTAACCTACAACAGCTAGGTAGGCAAAATTGGAACAGCTTTGTCATTAAAAAGCTCACCTCTGCTTATGCTGCTCCGTCCCACCAAAATGCCAAAATAACATTAGAGCCTTGGCTTACATCAGTGGAAATGCCATATTATATGGCAACAGATCAAAAAAAGATCAAGTCAGATTAGATTGGAGTTTTGTGACTGGAACCAGGAATAGTGAAATAAATTCTTTTTGGTTTTGTGCTGCTACATTTTTTGCCTCAAAGGATCACATTTTACTACAGCACAGTTATTTCTTTGTGGGCAAACACTGACTGCAGCACGTGAGAATCCTTCCTTCCAGCTGCATTAATACTTATCCGTGTTAGAGACTGTGCCACTGAGTCTGCAGCAGTCATTGCCATAATGCTGGTCTTCATTGATCTTCACCCCATAGGGTCCAGACAGACAGAATGATGGGGGTGGATATTGTCTCGCTTCTAGAAAATTACATTAATCAGTCACTTTTATAGGGTTTAAAAATGTTTCCTTTTTACATATATATCCTTTCCTGCGATACTGAAAATGAGGAGGAGCAGTGAAGGCTGAGAGAGAAGTGACTTTTCAGTTTACCATTCCAGTGGCGGCAGTTATCCTGACATGAATATTCCAAACACCTCTCTGTCTCTTTCTATAGAAGTCCACCCGCTGCTTGGTGTGAAGGGAGATGGTAAATCCAAGAAGAAGCAAGCAGGCAGGCCTAAAGGATCAAAAGGTAAAGAGAAAGATTCTCCATTTAAACCGAAACTCTACAAAGGGGACAGAGGTGCTTTACCTCTGGAAGGAGCAGCGAAGGGTAAAGTGCAGGCGGAGCTGGGACAGCCTTTGACAGGTAAGGACCCAGGGTGAGCGTTGTTGGCTTGCTTGGTGGCCTTGCTTTGTTCAGACCCTGATATGATAGTCTTAGCACTTTATCTTCCCAAATGGCATTTGCTCACTAAGTGTTTAGCTGCTGTCAAGGAGAGGCAAAATTCTACTTTTCTTCAAATGTAACTGATTTTATATTCAGCACAAAATGAAAAGGAAACACAAAATGAATGCATGCAGCTTGTTGCAAATGAAGAACACAGGTCTTTTTTCTTAATGTCAATTATACAGTATTCCAAAAAAAGCAAAAATGGTGGTGGTGCTGTGATTTCTTTTCAATAGCTTGTGTCAGCTCTGGAGTTCATAATAACATTGTTTGCTGGTCACAGAGGCTGTCTCTTGGAAAGGCTGACAGGAAAGAATGGAAATAGTGGAGGATTTTGAAGCTTGCACTGTAGCTCTGTGCCATCATTGGTAGCAGTTAATGTGCCAAAGAATCTAAAATTTGTGCAAGCAAATCGTTGAGAAGGGAAAAGCTGCCCTACAACGTAGCTGTTAGCAGTGGCTGCTTTGCATTGCTGAATTTCTGTAACCAGTGCAGAAACGCCTGCATTTTATAGATTCCACTGATTTTTCTGTTGTATTGTATGTCTTGGGGGTTATTTTTGGGGGGGGGGGTTCTTTAAATAACTCCATCTTATGTAACATTGCTCACCTTATAAGACTTCCCATTTACCACACCCATACAGATTCTGCATGGAGGAATTTTAGAAGTATTCAGTGGATTTCCAAAAAAAAAAAAAAAAGTAGCTGTTGTTGAAGGATTAAGATGTGTAACTTTCCTTATGAAAATTTTTACTTTCCCTTTTCTGGGCTGCTTCTAAATGAGCAGCTAAGTAAAGCTCATCTTTTCTTGACTGGATTGGAGCATTATGCCTATTTGAATGGTTTCTGCTGAATTATGTACCTGTAACTTTCCACTAGATGAAAGCTTCATTTCATTTAAAGAACCAATCTTCCCATGGGGAGGCGTGCACCACCATGATCTGGCAGGGGAATGGGAGCTCCATTCAGTAATTTGATTAATAAACGGATACTGAGAAAATACAAGGGCTAGATTTTTGTCTTCCAACTGTGCAACACCTTCATTAAATTTAGTGGAGTGGAGCTGCAGTAAATGAGGGTGGGATTTGCTGACTCTTGTCTCTTTCTGGTCACTTTGACTGCTGTGCATGGATACAAGCCTGTGTTTGGGGTCTAAGCTACATGGCAATGTCCTTTTCAGATGAAATCAGTTGACCTAAAGAAAGGCCCATGTTTCACACACCTGTCATCTCATTGGAAAACTGCTCTTCCTTTGCTTGCCTGTTTGGAAAGGCTGAGTCAGGTGTGCTGTAGGAAAGCATGAGTTGTTCAATCATGTGATCCTCATTTTCTAACGGTTTGTAAAAGGCATGATGCCCAGACCCTCGGACACGGTGTTATTCGTGTACAAAAATTTTGCATTTCCTTGAACTCAGCAGCTGCTGATGTGAATTTTATACTGTCCAGATTTAATTTTCCCCGCCCCTTCCTTCCCCAACTGCTGGTCCTATGTTACCTACCTTGCTCATTGTCCTTCCTGCTCTGCTCCTGTTATGTTGCTTGTATTAGTGTTGATAAGTGCTTATCCTCTGCTTATCAAGGGGATGTGATAAAAGAAAAATTGTCATCCTTGCAGGGCAAAAATCTAGACCATTTTTATTACTGCCTCTTAGCCGTTTGATATGTTGCACGTTCCTGCCTGAAGTTAAACAAGCCAAAAACAAGCTTGGTGCTATGCAGTGTGGGTGGTGTTGAATGGCTTCAAATGTTAAAACTTACTAAAGCAAGGATAGTTTCTCCAAAACTCTCTTTTGATTGTTCAGGTAATTAAGAACCAGGCATTCCTTCTCTTAAAGCAAAAATGTGGTGGTAAGTAATACCTGGTGTCCAGAGATTCTTTACTCCAGCAGGCTTCCATTGTACATCCCAATTACACCCACATGTCATTCTGGAGGGATGGGATTCAGTTTCAAAACCAGATTAATACAGCAGTTAGTGCTTTCTGCATCCTGTTGATCACTTTCTTTTATCACACTGCTAATGAATATGCCTCAATTCACATGGTCATAATAGAAAATGATTGCCCACTGGAAACTTCACTACTGTTTGCAAAACAAACTGAGGTGATTCATTGCTTTTAAAAAACATTCTGCAAGCTTACCCTTTGGTTATACCACGGCGTGAAATCAGGCTACCTAGAGCCAAATTGCACTAGTAGCAGGTTTGTTTGTTTTTTGCTTGCATTTTTTTGCAGGTGTTATTTTCGCACAATCCTAGAAACGTCGTTTTCTTATAAGCATTTTTTGCTGACTTGTCTGAGTCTTTTTTTGCAGACAAATCACAGTTTATACGCTTCTTGCAGCTTGCAATCAGCATTACTTCTGGCTTTTCTCCAGCACCTTTTAAAAGAGGCGCCCCCTTCAGTGATTTGAGAGCAGCAGCATTTTAAATGGGCTCCTACTTTGTTGGTTTTTGCACCTCGTTGTAGATTCACAGACTTTTAAAGCTAGGTGAGGCTACTGTGGTGCAGTCTGACATACATAAGTCTGTGGGTGTTTAGCCTGTTGCTGCTGCTGGGATATGCATACCTGTGTGGCATGTAGTGGGGAGCAGAGGCGGCTTATTTTTAGATACAGTCAGAAAATGTAGATTCCTAATTTTTAGTGAAATAACCGATTTTTAAATAAAAACAGAATTCTTAAAGTTTACCTGCCAGCTTTAGTAATCTGAGGGCCTGTTGTGGGACAGAGCCTTTCTAAGTGTTTATATTTTTTTGGTACTAGTAGGGTTTATGTTTTTGGTAAGATTAATGCACGACATGAGTGTTCTGGAACCTGATGGTTGTTAACAGTTCATTAGTATTTTTGCATGGGACTTGGCTTCTGTCCGGATCTACTAGTGCACAGCCTCGTGCAGTCCTGTTGACTCAAAAGAACTGCTCTTAGCTCCATGGTATTGGATCCTAAGATCCAATAGATCCAAGGAATGGTGGCTGATAGGAAAAGGGAGCGGTGAATCAGTCAGATTAGGGAGAAGAGTGCACTCTGCAGACTTGTAGAAACCATATCACCTTGTAGTGAACAGTGCTCAGACATGGCTACCCTCCATTCTCTTGCTTCCCCTGCATTTATGCGTTGTCTTAAGCAAGCAGGCTTGAGGTTGTCAGTTTATACTGGGGAAGCGGGGCATGGTCTCCTACGGACTCAGTTGACCTTCGTGTGTTAAATCTTGTCTGCTTGAGCAGACACATTGCATGCACCTAGCAAAGACTGGCCTTCCGGTCTTTGCCTTTTCTTAGGGATGTTAGATCCTTGCAGTGCTGCTTTGTGAAGTAGCCAGTCAGACAGTAAAACAGCAATGCAACCTACGCTGTTCTGGAACCTGTTTGCTGCCTTGTCATAATGTAATTTGTCTCTGCACAAGCCAGATACGTGGGTCCTTGGATAGATAAATCTCTGCCCCTGTGCTACCTGGTCTGGAAATAAATGCGTTTTTCTTCAAGTGTCCCTAGTGCAACGAGTCTCAGCATAAATAAATTGAATTGCCTGGACTATTGTATAGTTCTAGGTTGAAACCATAGAAAAATCCACACCAGTTTTCATTCAAGTGGAACTTGTTGGTTTTTGTTGTGTGTTGTTGTGAGGTTGTGTAATTTATTAGTATGCAAAACTTAAACCAGGTAAGTGTGTTCAAATGCAAGCACAGTGAAAACATAGATTTCCATGGGGCTCTGCTTCATATCCATTTACAGACTTTTGAGCACAACTCCAAAATGCCAGATAGTGATATCACCAAAGCGGCATCTGTCACCTTTTTGAAAAGCATCACCTTACCTAGCAGTTTTTCTGTTCTAGCCTATCTTTTTGGCAATGTTACCTAATTTGGTTGCCCCTACTTTCTGGAAACGCCTGCTTCTGAGTCTTGATGATGAAATATTTTTCACCTGTCTCTGATCTCTTTAGCAGGTGGCGCAATCTCAGAGCTGTTATGAAGACATTCTGCTTTCCCTTCCTCTGTTCTTTCCATTGCTGGCACCATTAAGTGGAATATGGACAAAGTACTCAGTCAGATAACGGACTGACTTTAATACAGGAAGCTGATTGTTCATGGATGCAGGGAGTGACTTTTATAAGAAGTGAATTATGGAAGAGGAAACCGCCTTCATTCCTTCTCTTCAGCCCCCTCTCCCCAAAACAGTGTATGCTATTGACTCTCAGGACAAAAGATTCACAAGGAAGTTAAGTGGAATGCCTCCTTGTTGACTTGCATAAAGTTTCCCCAAGCAAATTGGTAACTACCACACTGCTTTTCTAGGCTGCACACCTGCTTTCGGTTTCTTTCCAGTGTTTTACTTTGGGAACTGAAGAACACTGAACACTTTATTCCCAGAACCCTGTATCCTGTGCCAGTGTGCCCCATGCAGACTTCCATTTCATTTTGATAAACTGTCATTTAAGGAGTAAGCTGTTTGTATTTTTAGTCTTTATCCTCTGTGCTGCTTATGCTACCATACTGTGAACTCTAAGGAAAACTGATGAGGTTTTCATACACACCCCCCCCCCCCCCCCCTCCCCCCCCCACACCCGCGGTGTACACA